AAAAAAAAAAAGGTCAGGAAAAAAAATTTTATATGCAAAGACATAAAGCAAAGAGAAAAAATGGTAATAATGGGCAAGTCTAGATGAAGGTATATGGATGGCAACTGTGCTATTCTTCCAATATTTCTGGGGGCTGACCAGTTAGCTCACTTGGGAGAATGTGGTGCTAGTAACACTAAGGTTACAGGTTTGGATCCCCATACTGGCCAGCCACCAAAACAACACAACAAACAAACAAAATTTCTGTAAGTTTGAAATGTTTCAAAATTATAAGTTTGGGGAAAAAACGAACTCTACACAGGGAGAACCACCAAGGGCTCAGATTCTTTAACAATGGTCTGGGACACATCACCTGCTAAAGAATCCTGAATAGCCAAGATGCAAGCTGAAGGCAAAGGAAACATGAACTGAGTAGTGAAGGAGTTATTCATACCAGCTACAGCTTTGTTGTAAAAAAGATCTGCAGCTTCTACATGTGTGTTTTTTTTGTTTGTTTGTTTGTTTTGCTGAGTCAAGTACACTTTTTATATATTTTAATTCTTTATTCTTCTATCTTAACCTCCACTCTTGTAAATAGGGTGTATTGGTGATAATTAACTTTACAATGTAGTTCATAGGTTGCAAAATATTAAGATGGGCTGGTAAGGGAATTGCTAGAGGGATGGACTTCATCCAGAAATTCTGGACTTGGGAATGGATGTGATAATTAACATGACTTTGACTGGTCTCCCTTTGGAAAGAGTGAATATATTTTTGACAGGAAGAGAGATAGATGCATTACATTAGGTATGCTAGATATATTGTTGTTGCTGTTTTTTTGAAGAGTAAATACTAGAATAAGGACATGCATGAATGTTGAGCATCTAAAAATGTGGACTGTAGAAACATTTGTTAGTTTTTTGGCTGTCCAACAGCTTCTTTCTCTGCTTTGGGGAATTCCTTTTTTGGGGTGGTATTTGTGGGACATGGTGTCTAGACAAGCCAAAGAGGGAAGGTCTTTCTTCTCTCTACCTCTACCTACCCTGGTGTAAGGAGGTATCCTGAGCTCAGTTAATCTAATACCTCAGGTTGCCTCCCTAGTTCCCTTTCTCCACCTTGAAATTCCCAGGGCCCTTTGGCTGATGCCTTTTGCAAGGTGGGTCGAGAGCACTTCTGGGGCCCCAGGACAAGGATGTTCTTCTATGACTCTGGCCTCAGCTCAGGTCCAGGCAGAGGTGCTGCCTTCCAGCTGGGTGAAGCTCTAAGGAAGGTGTCCTTTTTTCTTGTCTTCTCCCCAGGCAGAAGGGGACAAGCCACCCAAACACTGAGGGGGGCCTGCAGGTGAGAAGGTGCTGGCCCTTCAGCCCTCCCCACCCTGTGCCTTCACAAACCTTACCAGGGCCTGAAGCTGAACCCCTGAAAGAGCAGGGGATTGCAGTGAAGTACAGGCTTTGGGGTCCCACAGGCCTGGGTTCAAATCCCACTCCAGATAGTATGTCAAGTCTCCAGTCTCTGTATGATGACAAAAAATTCAGATGAAAAACAAAAAGTTTGGTGGGAATGTGAAATGGTGCAGGTGCTGTGGAAAACAATATGGCAGTTCCTTAAAAAATTAAAATATTTTGTTTCTTTATCTACTCAAAAAAAAATTAAAAATTGAATTACCATGTGCAGCAATTCCACTTCCAGGTATATCCCCCAAAGAACTGAAAGCGAGGTCTTGAGCAGATATTTATACACCCACGTTCATAGCAGCATTATTACCAATAGCCAAAAGGTGGAAGGAACCCAAGTAAGCATCCATCAACAGATGAATGGATATACAAAATGTGGTATATTACAATGGAATATTATTCAGCCTTTAAAAGGAAATTCTGACCCATGCTACAACATGGATGAACCTTGAGGACATTATGCTCAGTGAAATAAGTCAGTCACAAAAAGACAAATACTGTGTGATTCCACTTATAGGAGATACTTAGAGACAGAATGGTGGGTGCCAGGGGTTGGGGAAGGGAGAACGGGAAGTTAGTGTTTAATGGGTACGGAGTTTCAGTTTGGGAAGGTGAAAAAAAAGTTCTGGAGGTGGATGGTGGTGATGGTTGCAGAATAACATAAATGTACTTAATGCCACTGAAATATATGCTTAAAATGGCAAATCTCATGCAACATATATATTACAATAAAAAAAAATTACCACCAAAAGAAAAAAAAAAAAAACTGCACAAGCAAAATGTCTTCTATGATCCTGGAGGCAAGTCTAGAGGTGGGGTGGGAGTCGGGGATTCAAGCATCAAATGGATGGAAAAGAACTGGCCAAGAGTGGAAGCATGGGACCACTGAGGCCTGAACTTACCTGCAGCCATCCACGTGGTCTGTACCAGGCACCAAGCCCCACCTTAGCACATTCCCCTCCTCTGTCCACACTGTCCGCCTCAGTCCAGTCCTCCTCCTCATACCTGCAATGGCTGCCTCTATCCTCCACGTGACCCGGGTGGTGACCTTCCTAATCTAGATCTGACCACATGTCTCTCCTGCTTAATGTCCTTCGGCAGCTCCCTGTTGCCTCAGCATCAGCCCTGCCTGCAATCCGGTCTCAGCCGAGGCCAACCTGGTGGCCTTACAGTCCTGCCTTTCCTGAGCCCCAGGTTCTCTTACATACCATAACTGTTTTTAATACCTCTATGTGATGATTAATAAATGTTATCCCTAATTTTCTCAACAACCCTGCAAGGTGGTATCATTGACTCCATTTTAGAGATGGGGAAACTGAGTCTCACACAGGCAAGGTCAGACTCAGAGATTCTTGCTCTTTTGCCACGTGGTGGCTCCTCCTCGTCCTTTGCTTGGTGCCTCAGTGCCTTGGCTTGTGCATGAGCATAAGCCTGTCGCTCAGATTTGGCTCAAAATCACATCTGACCACCCTAAGGTGCCCGAACACCACCCACGCCCCTGCCCCCAGGCATCTGATCACATGGTTTTCTTCATAGTTTCCCATTGCTGGAAATCCTCTTACTTGTTTACAAATTTAATATCCTTCTCCTCACTACAATATAAGCTCCAAGAGAGCAGGGATTGCATCTGCCTTGTTTCTGCAGCATCTGGAGCCAAGTACACTGTAGATGCTCAACAAACAACAGCTGGTGGGACTGATCAGCATTGCTGTGTCCCTCCCAGCCCTGTCCCGTCCCCACCTCCCGTGTGCTCCCTCGGTCCTCTGAAGCTGGAGAAGCTGTTGGTCCCTTGCACAGGCCTTGTGGGTACTCTTTCACTCTTGGGTGCCCCCGACAGACCCCAGCTGCCTGGGCAGGGACTGGACCCAGGCCTGGCACAGTGCCTCGCCTGTGAATTGAACACGGAATCAGTGTCAGAATATCTACAGTTGGCACTTGCTCTGTTACTTCTTCATTTTCACTATGGGCTCAGAATCAGGTACAATCTACAATCTTCCTGAGGGTAGGGCCTGTCCTCCACGAAGCCCTCTGGGGCTGGGGTCTCCCCCAGGTGAGCCCACAACTCATGCAGCCTGGCCTACCTTTGGGAAGAAATTGGGACCAGGGTACAGGGAGCTCAGCCACCAGCAGCAGCATGTTTTATTGAAACCAGAATCCCCCAGTCGTGTGAGGAGGCTATGGGGCAGGGAGCGAGGTCACTGACACCACACTCCAGTACAGGATACAAAGCCAAGGTCTGGAACAGCCTTCCCAGTACTCAAGCCCTATGGCTGGGTGCCCTTCTCCTTCCCCTACCCCCTTATCAGGGCATCTGGGGCAGGAGGGAGGTGAGAAGGGGAGTCCGTTTCAGTAAAGCCTTCATCTACGGGTCCTGAGGGAAGGAGGAACAGTTGGTGGTGGGGTCTAGGTGGCCCAAGATGCTCAGGGCATGTGTCCTTGGTGGGTTGTTAAGGGAAGCAATAAGGCACACTCTGCCCATAGGGAGAGGACGGGAGGGAAACAAAGGCTCAGAATGAGAATCACTGGCGTAAGACCACACAGGTGGGACCCTGGGATCCTGACTCCTAGGGCAGGGCCGTGCCCACACCCTGCCTTCTGGCATCACCCCAGCCTGGGCGCCCAGCCCCGCCAGCCACAGGTCCTATGTGGGGAGCCGCACACGGTCCACGTCTTGATCCATGATCTGAAGAACGTCATCCAGGATGGAAGGCCCCAGGTCCACGTGCAGGGACAGCAGGGAGCTGGCATGGGACAAGAAGGGCTCCTCGGCCCCTGATTCCGGAGTCATTCCATTGTGGGGTGAGCCAGCCTCTGGAATCCTCCAGATGTCCACACTGCCTGCCTCCTGGGGGGAAGGCTGTGGGGAAGGTTGAGGAGTCTCCAGGTGCAGGCGAGGGGGCTTGGGTGGGGCCTGGGCTGTGGGGAGGGTGAGGGCCTGGAGCCCACCAATGACTGGGAGGGAGATGGCGTTTTTGAGCAGAGGGGACGTCCCATCGGGGAGCTCCCGCCCGCACACCGTGGCGGTGCGGGTGAACTGGAAGGGGAGGTCAAAGGTGCCGTCTTCCTCAGGCTCCTCCACGGCCGTCCCCGGCAGCAGGTGGAACTTTCCTTGCAGGAAGGAGATGTCGCCAAACATGTCGCTGCCACCACCGCTTCCAATATGAATGGTGTGGCGGAAGTCCCCCAGCGGCGGGCTGATCATGTCCGAGGACAGCAGGTCCCGCAGCTTCTCCTTTTTGCCCTTGCGGCTGCTGCGCTTCAGATAGATGGGCACCTTGGTGGACATTGTGACCTCACCACCCAGGCCTGGCTGCCAAGGCCACGGCCTCACGCTGCCTGCTCTCAACACCCTCAGCCAGAAACAGTCCCTCCAGAGCGTGGTTTTCAGATCCCAAAACCTTGCCAAAGGCCAAAGACTAGAGCGTGGGGCGTGTTGACCGAAGTTGGTCCACGGAATTGGAAAAAGAAAAATTAAAGATCAATAAGTCAGGGGATTACGATTACAAAAATCACTGTCTCCCCAAAGGGTTGAAAACTCTTTTGTGAAAATCAGAGGCAGAAAGGCGGAGATCTTGTAGGCAGCAATGTGCTTTGGTCTTGGCTCTGAAAGTTTCTCCCCAGTCCAGGGCTGAGCTGAAACACAAAGGGGACACATGAGTCAGGGGCAGGAGGACAAAAGTCAGAAGCATCTGTCTTGTTGCTGGGCCCGTCTTGTTTCTTGTTTCTGGGCATCAGCCGTGGGAGCTCAACTGGGGCCACTCTCCTGTGGGGGCCCTGCTGGAGGAAGCATGGCTTCGTTCACTGACCCACTGTATCTTAGAGCCTAGACCACCTGTGCCAAG